ACTCAAGAAAATGAAAAGGCAAGCAGCCTTGGGGAAAATATTTGCAATACGTGTATCTGAAAAAGTACTTGAATGTATAATATATACATAAACATGCTCTTACAACTTCATAATGAGAAGATAACCCCATAAAGAGAAGGGCAGGCTGGGTGCAGTGGCTCACGCCTATAATGCCAGCACTTTTAGAGGCTGAGGCGGGTGAATTGCTTGAGCCCAGGAATTTGAGACCAGCCTGGGCAACATGGTGAAACCGAGTCCCTACAAAATAAAAAAATACAAAAAATTAACTGCGCATGGGTAGCATGCGCCTGTAGTCCTAGCTGTTTGGGAGGCTGAGGTAGAAGGATAGCTTGAGCCTGGGAGGCAGAGGTTGCAGTGAGCTGTGATCGCACCACTGCAACCTTGCCTGAGCAACACAGTGAGATCCTATCTCAAAAAAAAAAAGAGAGAGAAAAAGAGCAAAAAATGTAAAAATAAATTTTACAAAAGAAGATATAGAGATGGCCAGTAGGCATATGAAAAGATGTTTAAAATCAGTCATCAGGGAAATGAAAATTTAAACATAATGAGATATCTTATATTTACTGGAACGGCTAAAAAAGGGCTTACAGGAATTGGCAAAGATATAGATTAACTGGAACTCTTATGCATGTTAGTAAAAGCACAAAATGATACAATTTCTGGGGAGAAATATTTGACAGTTTTCAGTAGTATTTTTGATAGCCTTCTGAATTTCTTAGTGAGTTATAGGTCAGTTCTGCCACTGTTTGTTTCTTCCTTTTTTTTCTTTTTTTGAGAAGGAGTCTTGTTTTGTTACCCAGGCTGGTGTGCAGTGGTATGATCTCGGCTCACTGCAACCTCCACCTCCCGGGTTCAAGCAATTCTCCCTACCTCAACTTCCCCAGTAGCTGGGATTACAGGCGCATTCCACCATACTTGACTAATTTTTGTAATTTTGGTAGAGGCAGGGTTTCACTATGTTAGCCAGGCTAGTCTCAAATGCCTCACCTCAAGTGATCTGCCCGCCTTGGCCTCCCAGAGTGCTGGGGTTACAGGCGTGAGCCACTATGCCTGGCCTGCCACTGTTTCTTTCTTTTCCCTCCAGCTTTATAGCTATTTAAAGAGAGCAGATTTTCTTGAGTACTAGGAATCACTATTTTTGAGCAGAATTATTCAAAGCTGTTATTATTTTTTCTTTAACTTAAGGCAGTACAGGAGAAAGCAGTACTGTGCAGGTAAAAGTTACAAACAGGAACATTTTAAACAAGATAGTTACTTTCCATGTATTGGATATGTAACAGAAGTAATTCTAATAACCATCCTGAAGTTGGTCAGGAGGCAGTGGTTAAGAATTGAAATGTTTGGAGCTTGCCTGTGTTGATGGGATTAAGGCAGGGATGATTTATGTGTAAATTTATGTGTTAGTAACAGCAGTAACAGCTGTAGTTACACTAGGATTCTAAGATCAAATGTTGATTAAACATGAATGCAGCAGGGGTGATATGGTTTGGCTCTGTGTCCCTACCCAAATCTCATGTCGAGTTGTGATACTCAGTGTTGGAGGAGGGGCTTGGTAGGAGGTGATTGGATCATGGGGGTGGTTTGTAATGGTTTTAGCACTATCACCCTAGTGCTGTCTGGCAAAAGAGTTCTCCTGAGATCTGCTTGTTTATAAGTGTGTAGCACCTCCCCACTTTGCTCTCTCTCTTCCTCCTACTCCTGCCGCGGAGACATGCTTGCTTTCCCTTGGCCTTCCGCCATGATTGTAAGTTTCCTGAGGCCTCTGATTAAACATTTCTTCTTCTAAATTACCCAGTCTCAGGTAGTTCTTTATAGCTGTGTGAGAATGGACTAAGGGGAAATATATATGGTTACCAAATAGCGAATTAGCCATGGGAAAAAGTAGCAAATAAATAATTATTTTGCTTTTTCAGATGCTAATTTTTCTGTTTCATTTATTTTAGGGTTGGTGGGAGCTGTCCAATGTCCTTAGGCTGTTTTCCAAATGAGATACCAAAAGCTAGTTCTCCATTGGGTTTCTCAGGCTGCTGGAAGCATTCATTATTATGGTTGTCATTACTTCGAGTTCTGTTGCCACTATGCCCACAGTAGTATTTATTACATAACAGGTGCTTGATAAATATTTGCTAAATGAATTTTTGGAAAATAAATCTGCCACACCTTTCTTCTGCAGTCTACGATCTGTTGAGATCATCCAATAGATTTTTTTCCTCAGATATTGTACTTTTGAGGCCTCAAATTGCTGTCTTTTATATTTTCTATGTCTGCAGAGACTTTCCATCTTTCACTCATTGTAATCTTTTTTTTTTTTTTTTTTTTTTACATCTTTGTGCATATTTATAGTAACTGTTTTAAAGTCATTGTCTGTTAATTCAAACATCTGGTTCATCTTGGAGTCTTGATTTTATTGTCTGCTCTTTTTTCTTTGTAATAAGTCATGTTTTTCTGCTTTGCCTGTCTAGTAAATTTTAATTGTATATTGAAATGTAGAGAGTCTGGATTGTTACTTCCTTTAAGGGTGCTGAGTTTCATTTTGTCAGGCATTTAAATTGACAGTTGATTTAGTATTGTCAGGTTTGGTTCTCTTTGTTAAGGCAGGCCTATTTCAGATTTGTCTTTTGTCCTGGGGCATGGTTTTTACTTCAAGATTGCCCTTTCCAATGTCTCAGCTAAGTATCTGGGGTGTTCCATGAGGTCTCTTCCACTCTGCATAGGCCAGTACTCCAACTTCTCCCAGTATTATATTTCGTTTCCTCTGGTGTAATCTCCATTATGCTTTCAGATCTTGCACATAGACAGCCCAGGCCCCAGCCAAGGACCTGAGATGAAATCCATACAAAATTCTTAGTCCCTCGCTCACCAAACTCCAGCAGCCTTAACAGTCTAATCTCTTCCTGTTTACCTCAGTGAATTCTGTGTTCTACTTGAGTTCCATTTCCTTCTTTATCAGGGAAGAGCCACCATGCTGAAAGCAAGGGGCACTGTGTTTCTTTGTTTTTAAGGATGGTAGCCTATTTGCAACAACTGTAGTGTGATATAAAAATATATAATTTATGTTGGTGACAGCTACGAATACTGCTTGCACTACTTTGTAACATAATTTTTCAGATTCAAGTTCATATACTGTTTTTCTCCACCTCACCACACACATATTTTCAGACTTCCTCCTCATCCTTCTTCTTGCCAGTAGTTGTATTATAACTCCTGCCAGTTATAATTTTGGTTATATCAATATTGAGCTTTTATGGGATTATAACTAGATAAATGCCATTCATAGTTAAGTGATATGATATATTGTGACTTTTTCCCTGCATGTTTTGTTTTTCCTGGACTTAACAGTTGTCTCCCTTTTTGTTTTTAATTAGTTTTAAATGTTCTTAACTTTAATTCATAGACTTACCCCTAATTGTATAAATTTCTCAACATGTTTAAGCACATTTGGCATTACATCAATTTTATCTTTCCCAGGTGCCTTCTGATCTGTCCCAGTCTGGGCTAATTGTTCTTCCTGGCTTGCTGTATGACTGTCTACTCAAGAAGTCCCTTCACCATCATTCTAGGGATTTTCTTTTCCTCTCTTGCGGGTTAGATTCTTCAGTTCTTGGAAACTGTCATCTTCTTTCATGGTTTCCCACTCTTGTTTTGGCGGAGCACATCTTTAGTAACTTCCTGACTAGTGTATGGGAAGCAAAATTATTTGAGATTTTGCTTATTTTGAAATGCCTTTATTATATAGTCACACTTGATTAATAGTCTGCTTGGTATAGAATTCTAGGCTGAGAAGAGTTTTCCGTCAAAATCAGAACGTTTTGCCCAATTGTTTTTTAGCTGCTAGTATTGTTGTTAAAAAGGATAATGTCATTTTGATTCTAGATTCTTTTATGAAACCTGTTTCTTTGGCAGCTTTTAGGGTCTTCTGTTTCTTTGGTATTCAGAAATTTCATAAGATATGTGTGCTTCTATTTCGGTCTTATTTTCATCTGTTTTGCCAGGTACTCATGTACCCTTCCAGTTTGAAAACTCACATCCTTCAGTTTTGAGTGTTTTTCTTGAGTTGTGTCTTCAGTCTCTTCTCAGTGTTCTCTGTTTCTGGAACTTCTAATATAATATTGAACATCCTGAACTCTTAGTTTTTGTTTAGTGTTCTGATTTTCATTTGTCTTTTTATTCTATATATTCTGTTAATTCCTCGGCTTTATGGTCTTCTAGCCCTTCTTTTGCCTATCTTATGGGGTTGAGGATTAAACAATTTATATACCTGAGGTGCTGTCATATAGTAAGTGCTTATGTTAGCTGTAATTGTTGTATACTTTCATAACTGTCTTGAGGGAAAGGTCTTTGGCATTGATTCTTTGACTTCTTGGCTGTACATGACCTTGGGCGAGTGCTGTAATCTCTTTGACACCTACCTCTCTCTCCTGTATAATGTTAATAAGCTCTATCAGATGTTTGTGAGGATTGACTGGAATATGTATGTGTAAATGCTTAATACCTTTGTACAGAATTAATAGTTAATGCGTGGATTTTCAAATGTCAAAAGTTTTTAGTTTGAAGGGAAAATGATGTCTGAATTTTCAGGGTTGTTTTTAAGAGTACTTGATTATGACTCTCGTAAACCTGTATGAGCTACGTATACTTGCACTAAATGCTAATACTTTTTAAAGAAGTTATGTCTTAGTATTCAATCTCATTATGTTAGGTTGAAGATAGAAGATTATGAAAATATTCTCTGAAAATCTCTGGCTTTACTTCAGATTGTATAAATCTGTGTAATGTAATAATTATTTAAGAATGACATGATTACTGATCTAAACCCATGGAAGGGATATTTGTTGGATTATTTATTTTCACTTAAATGGTATTTGAGATTAGGAAAAAGAAAATCTGTCTTTTGATTTTTCTTGATAGTATTAATGTAATTTCAAATGTTAGCTCATTTTTGTTAATGGTGGCTTTTTGTTTGTTTGTTTTGTTTTAAGGTTTTTGGATTCAAAGCATAAAAACCATTACAAGATATACAATCTGTAAGTATGTTTTCTTATTTGTATGCTTGCAAATATCTTCTGAAACAACTATTAAGTGAAAGTTACTTGCTTGTTAGAGTGAAGTAGAGTTAAAGATATATTTTAACAGATTGTATTCCTAAACCAATTAATTCAAGAAGTCCGAGAGCATTGTTAGATCATTTAGAAAGCGTGGTGATGAGGTAAAACAATGTTGGCACAGATTCATGTTACTTGATCTGCTTTAAATGACTTGGCATCTAGCCCATATTTGAGCCCATAACCGTGTGGTAATTTGAAGTGTAATTCACAGCAGAGCTTCTGTTAAAGCACTAATAGCATCTTCCATGGAGGTATACTTTAGAGTGAATATAATTTTGTTTATCCTGTGTCTCTAGAGCTATTGACTGAAGAAGCTGTTAGGGCATTCTCTAACTGTACATAACATAAGTTATTTAAGATTGCTGAATTAGTTGGCTTGTCTTGTCTAGGACAGAGTTTTAAGGACTGCCTACCTGATTGATAGAGCTAGTTGACCTTATCTTTAACTTTTTGTTTTTCTTTTGACTTTGGGAGTAGAGATGTGAAAAGGTAAAAAGGAAGGAAGGAAGAAAAAACTTAACTGTTTTTGCCCTTGAAGATTGTCTTTCCTTCTCAAAATATTGACCATTTTCTGATTTTTAAAAATCGGCACATAAAACGTATTATTTTTCTACCTGACTTTATCTTTCCCATGTGATATCTATAAATTATAGATAGGAAAAATTTTTAATGTAAAGTTATACATACTAATCCACAGTTAACAATTTTTCTATAGAGTTTATCAAATGGAAGAACAAGATTCACTTCTGCCTTCAGTGGGCATTTAAACTTCTACTAAAAAGAAAGAAAGATTCTCTGTGCCTTCTTGTCTTGTGGAGTGTTGCTTTTTTATCTGTAATTTAGTGATCTTTCTAGTGTGATAAAACGCCAGAGGTACTTAGAGTAGAGTGGACATCAATATTGTTACTCTCAGTAAATTTTCACTGATTTTTCTCAGATTCATGAAGTAACACACGTTTGTTAAGTCCTTATCACTTATTAGATATCACAAAACATGTAGAGGGGTGCGTACAGTGGTGAATAAGATGTAGTTCCCGTTCTCAAGTAACTTACATTCTAATGTAAAAGGTAGACAAAGCATTACAAAAGTAACTCTTGTATGGAAGGTTGCGATGAAGAGAATACTGGCAATAGTAATTGTACCTTATAGAGAAGGTTTCATAAAGGAAGGCATGTTTGAGCTAGGGTGAAAAGAACCAGTAAGGGTTGACTTTTAAGCCAAGGAGAGGAGGGGAAGTGACATTACAGGCCAAAGGAATGGCATTATAAGCAGCTTGTTGGCATAAAAGTGTTTAGAATATGGCAGTGAATTCATTATCATCAGATTGTGGTGTCTGTGTGTTGAGGGTGGGAGAGAATCACGGTGGCAATAGGCAACAAGATAAAAGAAAGTAAAAGGTGTTATAGAAACTTAATGGGCCCAGCGTACAAATGATCTATGCATTTAGGGGTCTTTCTCTTTTCCTAATAAACCTCTCCTACAAAGAGCCTTGTTCCAGATACCATAGTGTTTCTTTGGAGGAAAAGAAAAACCACACAGCTTTGTACTTTTTGCACCACTGGATTCAGAATCTAAGTAATAAAAAAGGACACGAACTTTCAAAAGCTGGAAGCCATTAAACTGAGTCATTTCAGGGTTAGACTATCAGAATTGGGGATTTAGAGAGTCTCAGAATGGAGATCGAAGGACACCTGAGACAAATTCTGCCTTTTTCAAAATTTTATTCTAGTTTAACATATTCAAAGAAAGGGAAGGAAATTCTTTTCATTTCTGTGTGTAGTGACTTCCTGCTTCAAGAACTTAGGACTTCAGCTGCACTCTCAGTATTGTAGGTCACTTACATTATTATGGTTAAAGTTGGCATTGCAGAGAGCCTAGGAACCTGACTGCCTGTTTGTTTTTATATTCCCAAACATTGGATTCCCAAGTTAATGAAGTTTCTTTAGTAGTTGAGGGTAGCTTTTAATGCATATATTTTAATGCCCCTTCCCCACATGGAATCATAGGCTTTCAGAACGGGAGAGTACCTGAAAGAGATCATTTAGTCCAACCTTCTCATTTTACAGATGGGGAATCTGAGGCCTAGAGAAGTTAAGTGAGTTGAACAAGGTCACACAGGTACATATGGTAGCAGACCATCCACTGTTTATGCCAATATTCCCTTTATGTTTTGCTTTTTTGCTTGTTCGTTTTAACCTCTCCAAATTTTACTGACTTCAGAAGTTCCTAGAACTACTAAGTTATAGCATGTTATGAGTTCTAATGTCACTTTCCAATCTTCTTTATCTTTTTTCTACCTCTGTTTATATTTCTGGTTCTGGGTAAGTGAGTCTGGCAAGCTGCAGGTTATTTTATTTCCTTTATTTTTAGGATAGTATTACATGTGATATATATGTCTTTGCAAACATACATAATTTGAAGATCTTAAAATATTTGCACTAGGCATACCCACATTTAATAGTATGTTAAACCTTTTACAGCAATTACTATATACATGGTGAAGAAGAGTTCTTAATATGGACTTTCTGATTAATTGTATCTTTTTATATCTGTTTTCTTCAGGCATTCATAACATTAAGCAAATTCAGGTGTACTGTTACTTAATTGAATTAATAAGTTTGTTTTGTACAAGTATATTTTATTTTTGTTCTTTGCTCTATAATCTGGTAGGAATGGGGAAGGGGAGATAGTGAATAAAGAGATCTATACTTCTTGCCTTTGAGGAATTTAAGTGTTCACTGTATACTCATTTTTAAAAGGTATTTACTGTATTTCAGTGCATATTTTATTTGACATGCTTTATCATTTTGTGGTAAACCTTTAGCTTTACTAATTTTTATCTACTAAGTTTTCTTTTGTAAGATGGTGATAGCTTCATTGAAGAGAGTAAAGAAGAGACCTGCCTACCTAGCTGATTCTATGGCAAGTCTCACTTCTCTGGAAGCTTTTCCTGTTAATCTTATTCTTTTCTTCAGTTTCTGCCTCTTGTTTCATAAAAACTCATTCTTCAAATGTTTATTCCTTTCTCTTGTCTCATATAAGCCAATATGAGGTAATGGCATCTTTTGAGTTTTAGTTATAAGGAAATATAAATGGTTAAATTTAAATGGTTAAACCCAATTTGCCATTTGTGTATCTTTAATTTTAGTTCGTTGCGAGACTTATCACTACCAAACCGCAAAGAATTTAAAAGAAACTGGGTAGGTGGTAGGTAGAAGGAGGGCATTTATCAGAGATTTTAATTTAAGAAGAAAGTCTTCATCCTTATCCTACCAACCCCCATTCCCTGAGCACATTTATCATTACCAGTCCCGGTATATTTGCTCCCATATTTGCTATGCTTACCTGTGAAGATTTTCATAACTTTTTTCTTGCTTTTTACTGTCACTGTTGGTTCTATCATTTATGACAGATACTGCTGTTGTAGGAATGCTGGCTTTGACTAAAATTTGTTATTGCTTTTGTATGTAAAACTTTGTTTTTTTATTATAAGTAGAATTATGGAACAGTAGTAGAAAGAGTTTTACTTTTGTAATCAGAGATACTGAGCTTGAGTTCTTGCTCTTTCATTTGTATACTGTTATTTGGAGCAAGTTTTTTAATGCTCTTAAATCTTAGCTTTTTCCTATATAAAATGAAGATAATATTAGCAGTTATCACGTGGTTGTGAGGATGAAACAAAATAAGTGGAAAGTCTTTGTAAGGTGTGTTCATCTAGTTGACACTTAGTAGTCATTACTTCCACTTTCCATCCATATAGTCCTCTTAACAGTAATATATGAGAGCCATTTTTATTAAGGCAATCTTAAGGAGTGTTCGTCAAACCACATGTTCTGGGATTCTGAGAAAGTAGGGGAAGTTTAGAGAACTGAAGCTGCACAAAACTAACGTTTATTTTCTGTTGTGTTGTCACGAGACCAGCTTCTTAGATTCTGTTTCCTAGTCCTATATCTCTGATTCCTTATAAAATACTCCATTATGAATTCTTCACTATTGACAATTTCTCCTCTTTTATCTGTACCAAAGAAAGTGTAAAATGTGACTGTCTTCTTTGTCAGTCCTCTTCTTCCTGTTTTTCATATCAGTGGATATGAAATTATTAGCAAGGATGCATATATGTGCATATGTCATTGCTAAATACGTTTTCTTTCTAAAAAAATTCAGTATACTAAATTATACTAAAAAGGAAAAGCTTGTTTTGAGTGGTAATATGAAAGTTGTTTTATTTTAGGTCTGACCAGTTAGAAACCAGTGGATTTCAGTTTATTTATAATTGGTTAAACCTTCATGTGAATTTCGTTTTGAATTTCCTTTAAAGTAGAGAAACTATATAGATGTTTTCAGGGTTTCTAAATGTACAATACAGGTTCACAATCACTTATTTGAAACTCTTGGGGCCAGGAGTGTTTCCATTTTCAGAAATTTTAGTTTTCAAAAGGTAACACAGATGCGTATACTTTTACATAAACACCCCAGTGGGATGTGGGTCAATACCTGAAATGAAATGTTTCACTCTTCACTCTAAGTGTATTAAAGATTATATACAGTCTTATTACTTCAGATCAGGATTTGCTGTAGTTGAGTTTGCCATAAAACTTAAGAGAAAGTGTTAGATGTTTTGAACTTTTGGGATATTGAAATTGCAGGTTAAGGATCTATGGACCTTTATTTGTTTTAAAATGCTAAGATTTTATTTTAAATAATTTTTTAAAAAATTGTTTTGCATAGTAGTTGGAGTTACCAGGCTACTGCTAGCCACACTGATACATAAGATCTCTTTCTGAGCCTTGTATTGTTTGTAAACATGGGCTGTTAATTATTAGAAAGCCAGTACATACTAACGAATATATCACTGCTATTAAGACAAATATTAGCATACTCTAGTAATGACAAGTCAGCATTTTACTATTCTGTATTGCTTTTGCTTATTCTTTCGTTACTCTCATACTGTAATTAAAACTTGCAACCTGAGAGACTGTTGTAAAAGGTGACCATTGGCTTTTCAACAGGGAGAAAGGTCTGTTTTAAAAAAAATTGGTGGCCGGGCGTTGGCTCAAGCCTGTAATCCCAGCACTTTGGGAGGCCAAGACGGGCGGATCACGAGGTCAGGAGATCGAGACCATCCTGGCTAACATGGTGAAACCCCGTCTCTACTAAAAAATACAAAAAAACTAGCCGGGTGCGGTGGCGGGCACCTGTAGTCCCAGCTACTCGGGAGGCTGAGGCAGGAGAATGGCGTAAACCCGGGAGGCGGAGCTTGCAGTGACCTGAGATCTGGCCACTGCACTCCAGCCTGGGCGACAGAGCAAGACTCCGTCTCAAAAAAAAAAAAAAAGAAAAAGAAAAAAAAAAATTGGTAAGCATTGTGTCCAAGTAGATTAACATCATTCAGTTTTTCTTTACTGTCCTTATGCTTTTATTATTTTTAACATATATCTTTTTGAAGAATAGTTTGAGAATTATGTATGCTTAAATATGAGATACAGATACTATTGAAACTAGCCAGTTGTTTATAGGTACTTGTAAAAAAAAAAAAAAATTCCAATAGCATGCAAATTTTTCATAGAGGAAATTTGAAAGCATGGAAGCACCTGAATTTGCAGTACTCTATATTAGTGACATCACAAGTTTTGTAAGCAAATTTATTAACTCTAATTGCATACACTTAATCTTTTAAGCTTTGGTTTTATTATTATAATATGGGGGTGATAATAGTATCTACGTAATAGAATTCTTATTACATGAAATAATTAATGTTAAACAGCATAATATGTGTCACATTATAAAGATTCAGGCAATGTTTGTTAATATTAGTACTTTTTTTCTTCCTAAATGCAAAAGATAACTATATATCACTTTTAAACTTTTCTTTTAGTTGTGCTGAAAGACATTATGACACCGCCAAATTTAATTGCAGAGGTAGGTATGAATGTACTGTACTATGCTGTATAACTTAAACCCGATAGACTATATCTTAACTGTCATAATAATGAGTCATCTAGATTATTGAGTGAGATACGTATTTATCTTAAGAAGTATCTTAAAAATTTTCAAAAAATTTAATTTTGCTGTTTTTTAGGAAAAAAGTATTGCATAAAGCTATTAATATTGTCAGGAAGACTGAAGTGCAGAGTAGACTAAGAATTAGGAAAATTCCTAGACTAAAAATAGTATAAGGAGAGGGTTTACCTACTGTTTAAGGCAGTAGGTCTAATAGTAAGCAACTATAGGGAGAAAGCAGAACTACTTAACTCTTCTGTGTTGAGGAATGACATAAAAGGTAGGAAAGGATATAACAAATGTTGATAAGAGAAACCTGATGGATGAGAGGAGGGAATTGCTTTAAATGAGTTCTACTTCAGACATAAGTTAATTCTCAGAGCCCACAAAAACTTTCACTTTTATTTGTGAAATACAGCTCAGTTCTATGACCTAACACTTTAAACCATGAGAGAACTGAAGAGTTGAGAAGCTAGGCAGATGCCGCTGTGATAGTCAAAAAGAGAAAGTGGGTGCCATGAGCTACTATTGATGTATTTGCCATTGATCCCTCCTGAAAATCTAGAATGGACTTTCAGACAGATGGTTTGAAAATTCTAAATCACTCATGATTGAGATTTGGTATAGATTCACTAAGAACGTTTTGTTTTTGTTTTTGGTGGATTTAGGTTGTTGCTTACTAGGCAAAGCAGGCTTTAGTTGAGGTTTATGTTGCTTTAAATAGACATTTAACAGGTTTTCCTGGAGGTTTTTGTGTACCACTGGGAAAATGGAGTTAGGCAGATGACTAAGTGAAAGCTGTCCTTCTGGACTCCCTATAATGATAGTCATTGTCTACCAGAAGAGCTGTCCTGTCACACCAAAGGATAATTGATTGTATCCTGTATCATATTATGAGTGACTTGATTGGAGATATAAGACATACATCTCACATATTTAGGTAACACAGGATAGTACGTTGAGTATCAGTCAGAGTTTTTAAGGATCTTAATAGAGTGGAACTAAGGTAGCAACTATTAAGAACAATTAATAGTGATATATCTATAGTCCTGTTTCTAAACAAGGTTTTTTAAAAACCTCAACTCTGACTATAGTGAACAGAGAAGTCTTGGACTCTTATAATTCATGTGAGAAGACCTGAAACTTTGATAACAATTATATACATTTTGTAAGTAATTTCTTTGGTGTATGCCTTCACATATCTCTGTATGTGACCTATGCTACCAGTCCATTGAGCATAAATTCCCAGAATGTATTCTCCTGCAGAAAATGGAGGTAAATAGTACTTGGCTTCCCTAATGATTTACATGTGTATACAACACTAATATTTGCAAGACCACCTTTAAATAACACACTTAGCATTTTTATTTTATGAAATGTAATATGCAATTCTTTCTATAGTTTATTAGTAATCTATTCTGTCTTTGGAATATGTTTTGTGATGATGAAATAAATACTATAAATAGTATTCCTTTTGCATTGAGAGTCCTGATGAAATGTCCATGTGACATTTCATTTTGGGTTTAGCTGTACCTCTAATATGTGACCTATGCTGTCAGTCCGTATAGTGTAAATTCCTAGAATATATCCTTCTGAATAAAATGGGGGAAAATAATACTTGCCTTCCTTAATGATTATATTTGAGACTTATCAAGAGACTATTTTCTATTTAAAAATTAGAAAGTTAAGCAATACATTATTTTTCTCTGGAATCTAGTGTTTCTTTTAAATACCTGTTAAGTTTGTATGCAACATTTCTAAAGTTAACCTACTTGTAATTAAAAATTCAGGAGTTTTTTTTCTTATTCTGAGGTTGTCTTTTTACCACAGTTGCACAATATCCTTTTGAAGACCATAACCCACCACAGCTAGAACTGATCAAACCCTTTTGTGAAGATCTTGACCAATGGCTAAGTGAAGATGACAATCATGTTGCAGCAATTCACTGTAAAGCTGGAAAGGGACGAACTGGTGTAATGATTTGTGCATATTTATTACATCGGGGCAAATTTTTAAAGGCACAAGAGGCCCTAGATTTCTATGGGGAAGTAAGGACCAGAGACAAAAAGGTAAGTTATTTTTTGATGTTTTTCCTTTCCTCTTCCTAGATCTGAGAATTTATTGGAAAACAGATACTGGGTGTTTTTTTTTTTTTTTCCTTCAGTTTTATTGAGGTGTAATTGACAAGTAAAAATTATATATAAATACAATGTATAATATGATCTTTTGATGTATGTATATATACATTGTGTAATGATCACTACAGTCAAGCTACTTAAAACATATTCATCACCTCACATAATTATTCTTCTCCCTTCAAGGTGAAAGCATTTAACATCTACAAGCTTCAATTTTCAGTTATACAATGTTATTATTAACTATAGTCACTGTGCTGTCCAGTAGATCTTCAGATCTTGTTCATCTTGTGTCCCTCCCCGCCCCACCATCAGTCCCTGGAAAACAGGTTTTAAAAATAGTTGCTAATCCTTATTTCTTCTAATTTTTTAAATCAGTTGCTGCCTCAATTTCTATATGAGAAATGACTGATTTCATTTTTCTGTTCATGCTACCATTTTCATATCATACTAGCAGATGTTACCCATTAACTGTATTGCAGATTTGGTCTCATAAAATTCTTTTAAAATAACATTTTTAAAAAGCTATCAAAAATAAGCTTATATTTCTGAAGCTTATTTGAGCATAGAATGGCTTTGGATAAAATACCATTACCTAGTAAAGTGTGAACTTTTATAATACATAAAAATTATTCTTTTATAAGAATATTCATAAATGTAGTTAGATTAATAGAAGATTCTTGATTCTTTGATCGGAAAACTAAGGACTATATTGAAAAATCAGTGATAAATTTAATACTTATAGTACATCTGAAAGCAAAAAGAAAACTCTTGGGATAACTTTTACAGTGATTTAATTTTGCTGTTGATGTATTTCTTTGGGTGGTAAGTATGGCAAAACATGTTAAAATTTAATACAAAGAGATTTTGTTCATTTTTCCATCTCTAAAGGGACAAAGCCTAAGCCCCTCCAGACAGATAGAAAAACTCATTTAGAGAGTTCCCCTTCATGTTAAGCTAATTTCTTCTTAATTCAACTGTAAAACAGAAATAGAATGATCATATTAATCATTTAAAGCTGTGTAGTTGCATTGATTCCTTGTTCCTTTACCCCTCTCTCATGTCTTGTTTCCTTACCTTTGTGACTTTTTTTGCATTATGTATAAGGATGCCAAAGTACTATTTATTGTTGATAGTTTACAAAATTGAATCTTACATTAGTGCATAATTTTGGTGAATGTTGAAGTTTATGGTAGATTGCCTTACATTTCTGCATATTGTTTGCACCTTGGAATGATAGCACTGGCATAAATTATAGAGCTGAGGATCTAAAGATTTTTACTTTGATTTATCCCATTATTATCTGCAGGGAAACAGTTGCTTTTACTGATTAAAAATATAGGCCAGCCGCAGCGGCTCACGCCTGTAATCCCAGCACTTTGGGAGGCCAAGGCGGGCGAATCACAAGGTCAAGAGATCAAGACCATCCTGGCCAACATGGTGAAACCTCGTCTCTACTAAAAATACAAAACTTAGCTGGGTGTGGTGGTGCGCACCTGTAGTCCCAGCTACTCAGGATGCTGTGGCAGGAGAATCGCTTGAATCCAAGAGGCAGAGGTTGCAGTTAGCTGAGACCATGCCACTGCACTCCAGCCTGGTGACAGAGCGAGACTCCATCTCAAAAAAAAAAATTAAAATGCAGTAGCAAAAGCGATGGTAGAAATTTAAAACCGAGTTGATGAGCAGCAGATAACTTGGTAGTGGGAAAAAAGTCAGGTAAAACAATTTTTGTAATAAAATAGAAAGATTTTGTAATGTGGAGGCACAGAACACTAGATTTAAGCCAGGGGGTCTTAAGTTGTGTTACATACCTTTTAAAAGTCTGATGGAAGGTATAAATGTTCTCCCACCAAAAAATGTACATAGTGTACATAAAATTTTGCACATAGTTTTTATTACATTGAAATATATTATTTTAAACAGAATGTAAAAGAACCTTCATGAAAACTATGTCACTTTTTTTAATGCAAAAACCAGTGGCCACTACCTGAGAGCAGTGAATAAATCTAAGTGGTACAAATTAACCAAAATTAAGCTTTAGTTCTGTTCAATACGAAATTTTAATGAAAAAACTGCTATTTAACTTTTAAAATAACAAGTTGAAACTATGCTCTTTGACTTTGCAGCTTTTATATCCAATCTTTGATATCCAATCAGTGTTGACTTTGGTAAAAAGTGCTGAAAATGCTATTTTACAAAAGAAAAAAGAGTAAATGGAATCTGAAGATTCTCTTGCCTGATGAAAGTAGACTTGTCAAGAAATAAGACTTCTCCAAGACTTGAGATAAATTCATGTTGCATCATTTTCTTTGCCTTCAAGTTACTGAGATCATTTTTGGCAAGATCTGTAACATTAATAGTGTGTTAGGAAGGAAAAGATTATGACTCCATATTTTACTTTCAAGGTTGAAGAGTTAAACTCTTTAAAAAGAGTGTATTTTACCCTGTAAACAACAGTATCAGGCTGTAGAATTTGTCTTCTGAAAGCAGTGAACTTACATATAGCAGAGAACTTCATAGAACTCCCATTTCTTGACAAAACCTCTCAAGAAGCTCTTGATTGAAAGTCTTGGCTTTCATGAATCTGGCAACTTTCACAATAGTAGATTTTTCATGACAAATCCTCTTACACAGGCGATTATTCAAGGGTTGGCACTTGAAACAGTAGAATACTTTCACAACAAGAGATAAGATTTCTTTCAGAATTGATGACAGTCTTGCACCCTAGTGCGTACTGATGAAGAAAGCAGTGGGTGACCATGACATGGAGAGCTGCTGTCTTTACCAGTGCCACAATATCAGATGTGTTCTCTGGCAGTAAGGTGTACTATCTGCCTACAGTATACTGAGGTTTCTTCAGGAGAAGTTTTGTGGTAAAGAAACTTCACTATTTTGAAAGTGTTAATGTTTTCTGAAGTTTCCAAAAAGGATTCCAAAATGGGAATGTTTCCTTGATTGTGTCACCTTGCTTGCATTTGATGAAAACTAGTAGCCGGCTATACTGAGAAATCATATCTGAAGAAAAGTGGTACTTCCAATCTTTTTGTGACCTACTTTCTTATTATTTTTTTAATGTCAGGTTTTTTTTGGAATGGATAAGAGTATTTGATAGAGGTATTTGCAACAGTCTTACTCTTCTTCATGCTACAAGTATGTTTGACTCTTTCTAAGATACTTGCCGTCACCGTTCAACTGTGTGACATTTTTATTTGTTTAGCATTATAGTCAATAGCCTAGTAGATGATTTAATCAGGAGTTTTAATTGGAACAAATAGTTTTTGTAATGGTCTAGACTTTCCAACTAACTGTGCTCTCACATGTGGTCTCTTTTTCTCCCTCTTTTCTCTCTCTTACACACTCCCAGCCACACACATATGCATACATACCCTGTCTGATGTAGCTGCTTCTTCAGAATATTTGGCTGTGCTCTGCTGATGGTGAGAACTTGCCATTTAAGAAGGACTTGGGACAGTCCATCTCATCATGTTCAGGGATAAAAGTAAAACCCAAGGATACTTAAACTTTATTGTATTTTATTTTCTGTTTCCAGTCCAAATTAAATCCAAGAGAAGGCTCCATAATCAAAAAGTAAGGACATATTTTAAATTTGCCAGCAGGAAGATATTCTAGTCATTACAGTCTTATAATACTATCAATTCTGTTTCTCTTCAGAGGTGAGGAGAGACTATTTGATGAAATCATAAGTCCTGTAGGATTTTGTGAAATAGGGCCAGAATGAAAGCTAGCAAGAATAGTAGTTATGAAAATAAAATGCAAAGTTTATAGTATCATGTGGTAAAATGTAATAGTATCTACTTCATCAGTAGAACTGCTCAAGTCGCCATATATTCTCCGTCCTTTGTATATGTTGGATCCCCCAAGTGAAAGGAGATGATGGGCTATTAGTAAATAGAAAATGGAGATCTGTACATAGAGTGTTAAGGGTGTAAGAATGTAAATATTAAAATTGTTATGTTTAGATGTTATTTAATATTAAGACTCAGAGTTAAGTAATTTACTATACTTGGCTCATGCTTAGTTAATGTACTTAGACCATATTTCGGATGAATTATTCACAGGATCTAAAGGAGTATCCTAATGTGTTCCTACCTTCTTTATCTCTGTGTTTATTTAAAAAGGCAAAAAGAAATGTAGGAGCAGATGCTGTTGACCATATTTGACTAAACAGTAGCATTTGTGTTTAGATTGAAACAGCATTAGAAAACTAGATATGGATTAAAGTCAATGGTGGTTTTTTTTTTTTTTTTCCTTCCAGGAATGTTTCTTATAGATGATCAAACAGGCCCAGAAAGGGGAAGTGTTGTGATCAATATTATCCAGTTCATATTAGCATTCAGAGGAAAATTTGAGTCCTTTTATATACCGTTAAATTTCTTTCTATACTATCAAGTCCACAAATCCTGGAAGTGCAAAAGAATTTTGAGACTGTTCAAAATAATTAATCTCTGTATAGGGTCAGGCTTTCCTGCAAGGTTATGAAATGCTGATAGAATTGGTCTATTTTGAAAGGCTCCTCAGCTTATACCCTTCCTTACAAATGCTTCCTTACAAATGCTAAAGCATTTAATGACCCCTGATTTAAAGAGAATTTGGACAGATTGAGGTTGTTGGTCTTGGAAATAAATACTGCAGGCTCCTGTAAAATACTTGAAATGTAATTGTTTTAAAACTTTCAAAGATATCACTTGTTTGCCTATTGGTTAGAATACTAGTGAAATAATTTTTAATCTTTTATGAATAGCTAACTTCATCATAAGAAAACTTAGCTAAGCATGGTAAAGCTGTTGTTATACAGCTGTGGAGTTCTTCCTGAGGAGTAACTGTCTTATAATAAATGTAATTGATTATCTAAAGTAGTTTTATTCTTGGAATATCTCATAATAGGTTTATTCTCTTCTTGTCAGTATTTCCTT